GGGGGAAAAGCTAAGCGCAAACGCAAAAATAATAGGGGACAGAGAGGAGTGGGCACAGCGTCTGAGGAAACGGATAGCGAGCAAGCAAGAGAGGACGAGGAAGAACACAAAGTAATCATTAGATTGGAGCAAGAAGGCGCCTCGTTTGGGGAGTGGAATCCTGTAAACCTTACAAAAGCAATAAATAAACAAGTAGGAGATGTGAAAAGTGCGAGAGTGTTGCGCAATGGAGCACTGCTGATTTTTTGTCGAGACAGCGCACAGTTGGGGAGAGCCATCAGAGTGGATAAAATTGAGGGGAAGAAGGTGGTAGCAACGCTAGCTAGGAAGGGAGGAGGGATCACCCGAGGAGTAATCTTTGGGGTGCCGATAAGTGTATCTATTGATCAAATAAAAGAAAATATAAAGGGAGCGAAAGTGAGGGAAGCAAAGCGCCTGAAAACAACACGTGAGGGGGAAAAATGTGACAGTCTGTCGGTTTTGGTTACGTTTGAGGAAGAGAGAATCCCAGAAAGAGTGCATATAGGATACATGAGCTACGGTGTGAGGCTCTATGTGCCTCCGCCATTAAGGTGCTTTAAATGCCAGAGATATGGGCATGTTGCAGCAGTATGTAAGGGGAAACAAAGATGTGGGAAATGTGCTGGGGAACATGAATATGGGAAATGTGAAATTGGAGCAAAAATTAAGTGCTGCAACTGTGGAGGGGAACATACCTCTGCATACAGGGGATGTGAAGTCAGTAAGAGAGCAGCAGAAGTGCAGCAAATGAAAACATCGAATGGAATCACATATGCTGAGGCAGCCAGAAGGGTGAGGGTGCAGGCAACTGAAAGTAATGCCAGTACAACCGAAAGGAAATAAGAACACATGAAGGATGCAAAAGAATTAAGGAAGACACAATGGTTGTGGGGAAGAAAGATTTCATACTATTCATGGTTGAGGTGGTTAACTGTACAGCGCAAACAGACAAGAAAACAGAAAAAATCAAAATAATAGTGAGAGCAGCAGAGAAATATCTGGGACTGGAGGCAGTTGGGTGGGAGGAAGTGGAGGACCTGTTGAAAGGAGGGGGGTCCAGCTCACAGAATCCATCACAGCAGTCATCAGTATGGGATGGAGGATCATCATGGTCCTAAGTATACTGCAATGGAATGCAAGAAGTCTCATAACCAATGGGCAGGAATTTAAGAAGTTTATATCTGAGTTACAGGACAAGCCTACTATTATATGTATTCAAGAAACATGGATGAGGGAGCAGTGGGATTTTGTAATACATGGGTACACGGCTGTAAGAAATGACAGGAAAAATGGGATAGGTGGTGGGGTAGCTACCTTTATAAAGGATGGGATAGGGTTTAATACAGGTCAAATAGGGACGGATCATGAGTCCATAACAGTAAAAATCTGGACAGGAAGATATGAGCTAGCAATTATTAATTACTATAACCCATGCAAGAGATTGAGTATGGATACACTGAATAAGGTACTGGGGGAGGTGCAAGGGAAAATATTGTGGTGTGGGGATTTCAATGCACATAGCACTTTATGGGGGAGTGAGAGAACAGACTCAAATGGTTCAATAGTGGAAGAATTTATAGAAGATAAAGGGTTAGTGTGTCTAAATGATGGGAGGGGCACTAGGTATGATTGTGTACGAAATAAGGAGAGTGCAATTGACTTAACTTTAATGTCCAATGAGATGGCAGGTATCACAAATTGGGAAGTGCTAGATGAAATATTAATGGGGAGTGATCACTATCCTGTGATTAGTAAGGTGGGTGTAGAAATGCAGCGAGAGGAGGAAAGGAGGGTGCCAAGGTGGAAAATTCAGAATGCTAAGTGGGATGCTTATCAGGCAGTGAGTAGAAATATATTTGAGGAGTTACATGAGGAGCAATGGACAGGTGTGGATGAATGGAATGAGAGAGTGGTAGCAGCTATAATACAGTCGGCTGATGGGACAATTCCAAAAGTGTCTGGGGGCAGAAGTGTAAAAAGTGTACCATGGTGGGATAATAACTGCAGACAGGCTATAAGAGCACGTAACAGGGCATTCAGATTGTTAAAGAAGCAACATACAATGGAGACATTAATCCAATACAGAAGATCACAGGCAGTAGTGAAAAGGACAATCAGAGCAGCTAAGCGGGCGTGTTGGAGGAAGTACTGTAGTGAAATAGGGCAGGAGGTACAGCTGTCAGAAGTTTGGGGAATGATTAGGAAAATGAGTGGAATAAAAAGAAATATAACAATCCCGATTCTGAAGAAGGACGATAGAACAGCAGTTAGTAATTTAGAGAAGGCGACGCTACTGGCAGAAACATTAATTCAAGTTCATAGCTCAGAAAATATCTCAACAGAAGCAAAGCAGCATAGGCAGAATGTACTGACACAAAACACATGGATTAGAGAGAAAAAGCAGGCAAGAGGGGATGATCTAGATCTGCCCTTTAATTTGTATGAATTAAGAAGAGCAGTAGCCAAAACGCGGCAGTCGTCACCAGGAAAAGATGATGTGTGCTACTGCATGTTAGATCACATGGATGACAGGTCGCTGGGGGTAATATTAAAGTTATTTAATAAAGTATGGGAGTCAGGGGAGGTTCCACAGGCATGGAAACACTCAGTAATAGTGCCAATTTTAAAACCAGGTAAAGGAGCATCAGATCCATCAAATTATAGGCCAATTGCCCTTACATCTCAATTAGGGAAAACAATGGAGAAGATGGTAACAGAAAGGCTGATGTTTTTTTAGAGAGTCATGACCTGTTTTCTTCATATCAAAGTGGATTTCGCAAAGGAAGGAACACGATGGATTCAGTGCTCAGTTTGGAGTCAGATATCAGAAAAGCACAGACAAATAAAGAAATAGTGATGGCTGTGTTCTTTGACGTAGAGAAGGCATATGATATGTTATGGAAAGAAGGGCTGCTCATTAAATTAGATAAGATGGGAGTGGGAGGGAAATTATATAACTGGGTACTAAGTTTTTTATTTAGAAGAACAATAGAGGTGAGAGTAGGGCAGGAATTCTCTCCAATATATGAGGTTGAAAATGGAACCCCGCAAGGGAGTGTGTGTAGTCCAGTAATTTTTAATTGTATGATCAATGATATATTTGAGGAGGTGGGGGGAGGAATAAGTAAATCATTATTTGCTGATGATGGGGCCTTATGGGTAAGAGGGAGAAATCAAGACTATCTGCAGAAAAAGCTGCAGGCAGCGGTTGATAAAGTGGAGCAGTGGACAAATAGATGGGGATTCAAACTGTCAGTGGCGAAAACCCAAGTAATATGCTTTGCTAAGCGACATAAAGAGGTGTCAATAAAACTATATGATCAAACGTTAGAACAAGCTAAAGTAGTACGGTTTTTGGGTGTCTTATTTGATGAAAAACTTACCTGGAAGCAGCATATAGAAAAACTGAGAGATAAATGTAAAAATGTTAATAACCTTATGAGGTGCATGGCAGGACGAGATTGGGGTGCAACTAGGAAGTCTCTGTTAAACATATACCAAGCAATGATGAGGTCCAGAATTGATTATGGCAGTGTGGCTTATATGTCAGCAGCAGAGAGTCACCTGAAGAAGCTGGACGTGGAACAGGCTAAGGGGCTGAGGATATGCAGTGGGGCGTTTAAAACCTCTCCAGTGGCTGCTCTTCAAGTTGAGGTAGGGGAAGAGCCTCTAAGGATAAGAAGGGTAAAGCACATGCTGGCATACTGGGTATATCTGCAGGGGCACAAAAGGTCACATCCAGCAAAAGCAATATTAGAGGAATGCTCAGAGCACGACAAGACCAATTTTTTGAGTTTGGGCTGGGTAGGGAATGTAAAAGCTGAAAGTGTCGGTTTATGCAACATGCAATTTGTATCAAGTCATTCTTTACCAGAAATCCCTCCATGGGTATTTCAGGAGCCAACAGTGGACTTTGGTATTCAGGATAAAGTAAAGAAGAAATCAGGGAATACAGGAGATATTGTGCAAAGATACATTGAACAGAACTATGCAAATAAACTGTTGATATTTACGGATGGATCAAAAGATCCAAAGACAGGGCGCACCGGGGCAGCAGTCTTCATCCCAGAACAAAGACTGGCAATTAGAGAAAGGGCTACTGATCATGCCTCAGTATACTCAGTGGAGCTTTTAGCAATAATACTTGCATTGAAGTGGATGAAGGGAGGGAATGTTGTACATGCAGTAATAGCATCAGATAGTTATGCAGCACTGGAAAGTATCAAAACAATGAAATCATGTAGGCAAGATCTTGTTATGGAGATTCATCAACTGCTACACCAGATACAGAACAGGGGGGGACAACCAGATTTGTATGGGTTCCAGCACATGCAGGTGTTGAGGGTAATGAGGAAGTAGACACACTTGCAAAACAAGCTGTCAGAGCACAAACAATAAAAAACAGCATTCCACTGGGTAGAGCTGAAGGGAAGTCAATAATCAAGACACAGATGCAGAGAGTTTGGCAGGAATATTGGGACATCAATGACACTGGGAGACATTTCTACAGGATACAGAGTCAGGTGGGTGGAGGACGGGTATTTGGCAGGAGCAGGAAGGAGGAGGTGGCCATCACCCGTCTTAGGCTTGGGCACACAGGGTTAAACAGCACACTAAAAATAATAAGTAAACACCCCACAGGAAAGTGTCAAAGCTGCAATGTACAGGAAACAGTCGAACATGTCCTAATGGAATGTAGGGAGTATGAAAGAGAGAGGGAAGTATTAAAAAATGGCTTAAAAAAGGAAAACATTGGATTTACATTAAGGAGTGTGTTACAGAGAACAAAAGAGAGCAATAAACATGTACAAAGATATTTGAGAAGAACTGGCCTAGTTAAAAGGATCTAGTAGGGTTTGGAGGGGGTTCCTTTTTTTTTTTTTTTTTTGTAAATTACCAATCTAATGTTCCACACTCCAGTTCGGTAGGTGGCGGCAATGCGCCAAATTGTTGGATGCCAGCCGCCAATCAAATCCAAGAAGAAGAAGAAGAAGAAGACGCTCACACTCATTCATTCACTGACAGGAGCGCACACACCGTCGGTGAGTAGCGACTAAACTTCGTGATCCCGGAGTTGCCAGCCACTGTGGGGACTCACTGGTGATGGGTTTAGCACGTGGGAGCGGCTGTAGGTCCAGACGATCTTGTAAAGTTATTGATTTGCGTTCTGAGACGTACATCTTTGTATTGATGTAGTTAGCGCTTGTGTTAGCAACATGCTATCCCGTCTCGGTCGCTCACGGCGTGAGGCACGTTCAGTAAGCCCGATTGCATTGTGGGTAACGTAGTCGCTTATTGTTGCGCTCTCACTGTGTTGCGTGTTTAATGCGAGCCTTGAGAACTACATATTTTTTTGCACCGTGGTTTAGCGATGGTCCAGGCTAACAGACTTTAAATGTTATTGCTTCTTGTGTTTAGTAGTAGAAACAGTCTTGTGTTTAGTAATAAAAAAGAGAAGCATTACACGCAATTAACTCAAATGTTTATTGTTGGGCATGCTATTTTGCATTTTTGGTTTATTTCTGTGTTCCTTCCAGGTTTATAACCTGTGCAATGGCTGTGCAATGTTACATTAAATAACAGCAACTAGTCAAGCACGAGTTGTAACAGTGTGTTTCCTGTTAAGCCCTTTCCAAGGGCTAAGCTCAAAATGTCGGAACTATATCTAGTAACGTCTTTAAGTCTTTATATGTCGGTCCTAACAGGTTCTCATGAATAAACCTTGATCATTTTATATTCTGTTTATTAAAGCTGTGATATTGTACAGTGGATGTGAACAGCTGATGCTCCGTGTAGATGCAAATCTCTGTCAGAGCTTCCTGCTGAGGTGCAAATGGAGGCAAAGACTCTCATCACAGGTGCTTCTTCAAGTCCTGACCGAAAAATAATTGATTTTAAAACCTCGTTTAAGGCTTAATTTTGAGTACAGAGCTGAATATTTGGAAATAAAGCTCATATTTTCTGTAATTTGTCTTCTTCGTGCACACCGCCTGCTCCTCTGTGTCTATCTGATGTAGATCTGTGTCTCTTCATAATCGCATTCAAGTCTTTGTCTCTGTGCTGACAGTTTAGGCCGTTACCATGGCAACATCCATCATGTGAAAGAAGGAAAAGCGCATTAAAGCTTCAAAACGCGCGACTCCAAGCTTCACACCTCGCCGATGATATCAAGAAGTCATTATCACCTCAGAGCGAGGAGGACGGGATTATTCCTCGCCGCTTCGCCACCGTGGGGTTTCACACTGCTGTTTGTGCGCACGTGTCAGCGTGTTTGTGTGTCAGCGTGTTTGTGTGTCAGTGTGCTTGTGGTCACTTGGCTCATAAAGTGGGTGTTTGCCAAAGTGAGAGGACAGAGCAGCTCTCTGTTCTCAGATCAGTTGGTGGCAGCGTTTTTTGGCTGAAGTGCTTGGAGGACATTCAGTCAACGTCTGTCGTCTTTGTTTGTTTGTTTTGGGATTTTTTGTTAAACCCAAACCGTAAATAAAGCATGAAGAAGTGATTTTAATTCGCAAAAGAACATGCAAAACAATCATCCTCGCTCAGCTGTTGCTACACATCGGTACATTCTCACAGTAACGTTATCAAAACAAGCCAAGAAGAGCAGCTTGACGTATGTTAAAAACGTTTATGTCAGTCTCTTGCATCATTAAGACCTAAAACTATTTCACAAGTCTCTCTTTAAGCAGTGCTAAGGCAGCTCAGTGTGATGGTAACTTAACACAGAAATGCTTTTGCCTTTGTCTGATACTCTGAGATTTTTGCTGACATGGCTGCAACAATAACCAGCCTCCTCCTGTGTGGACAGAGCATCACTCTGATTCAGACTTCTGCATCAAATTTACTCAGAAAGTAGAGGCATCCATACACAACCTGATGTACACCTTCTTAAAAATGTAACCACTTGTTGTGACAATGCAAACTAAGTAAGTCCACGTGACACAAACTCGAAACTTCCGTACGAAACCACAGACATTTGAAGGACTTTATAAACTTAAAAGCCGGACAAAAAGAGGACGTATTCTGGATTTGTGGCCTGTGCAGGTCTTCTCTATAGCTTACAAACTTACTAAAGTGCTTAAATGAAGCCCCATGCGCACGGAGGTTTTTGTTCTTCACTTCTTAAAAGTAATGATTGATCAGGTTTCCCAAGTCTGAAGACAGCAGACAGCACCACATTAAAGTCTATTTTCTTTTGTCTCTGTTTTTGGTCTCCACCTCCTCCTGTGTGAGAGAAGGCAGCTGGTGTACAGTGTCTTTTTAAAAAGCCCTTTCTCTGAAAATAGTCACAATGAGAGCACTAAAGCAGACCGAACAGAGATGGTTTTGGAGCTGGACAGATAACAATGAGCTGAAACTCATCGTAAACCTCCGTAAAGCGCAGGCACTGACCCTCTTTATGGCATCACTTTGTTGTCTTATGGTCACTTGGTGCATTGGTTTGACCTTTCAGGATTGTATTAGTTGTGGGGGAAGCAGGGCGGAGCTCTTTGCATATGTGCAAATGTTCAGTTTTTCCTTGACATTGTCAGGCTGCAATTTAATGCTCTTGAATTTTGAGGCATAATATAATCAATCTGCAAGTTTTTGCATGTCCCATCCCATTACTTAGTGCTCAGGCTCAGTGGTGAATTATGACAATGACATAAGGAGCCATGTGTGGAGGTTTATCGTGTCCCAAAACTCAAAAAACTTGTCAAATTAGACTCTGCAGACACATTAATACTCTGGGATAAGGTGATTAGAATTGGTAGACATGTCAAGCATGTTACCCCCAATTTCCATCGCATCCGGCACGGCTATGAAAAGGCCGTATCCACTGATCATAGCTGATCGTAAAGTTAATGTGTCAATTTCCACCGGCTTCTTTCCGTTCCGCTGACGATCGCCGAACTCCACAGCTAATTGCAAGAGTTCTAGTGTTTCCAGATGCCGGAGCATGCCGGATATTCAGTACAGATTAACCCATGCTGGAAAGGAAGTCGGGCACAGACACAAAATAAAACACCCAGCTTCTTTTCAAAATTAAACACTGTGTTTCAAGCGGATCATATTTCACACTATGCAAATGGGCGGGGACAAACAAGTGAAAGGATTATAGACAGCATTTCATCCCGATGACACCATGGATGAGAAGATGCTGATTTCCACCTCTGGAAGGACACAATCTACTGCTTGTATGGTTAGCCTCTGTGGCTAAAGACAACTTGTCATTGCGCGATTGCATGTGAATCCACTGGTTCTTGTAAGTTTTCACGATTCCTGCTGTCCGTAAACCGCCATGAAATTTGCCTCAAAAACGTATCCTGTAGGAATGGGCGTACGGCAAAAATCGCTGCTGTTCTGGATCAGAGCCGTTCCGGATGCGGTGGAAATCCCGGGTTAACATATATAAAAAAAGACTCCTGAGTTCATTCCCAAACTTAACAGGAGTTTAGCCACTCTGGTTTGATATTTAGTTTACTGTTGGTGATATATAGGGCCTGTACTTTGCTCTCTGGTGCTTCCTTCCCAAATTAAAGTGCTTTAAAACATGCGCTTGAACAAAGTAAGAAATACAGTCCTGTGGCAGTAACCAGCCGCTAACAGCTCTCTAATGAAACCAACGCCGTGGCACAAAGTTGCAGCTCCAGCAGCCTGAACAAAGCGGAGGTCAGGCTGTGACTCGGAGAGAGGAGAGCTGGATTAAAGGGCCACTGCGTCGGTCACATTCATTGTTTCAGGATGAAAGCAGAGAGGCGTTCGCATGGCAACAACGTCAGCTGGTTTTCTGCCAGCTGTCCGGGGCTGTGGGTCTGTTTTCAGGGGTGGAGGAATGTCACGACTCCCCCCACTCAAGCTCCACAGGGACCGGACTTGTTTGGCAGAGAGCCACCCCCATCCACATTCACACGGCACACAAAGACGAACAACGAGGGGCTGAAATATCTGCGGTGTGTCCTTCCCTTCAGTGACAGGAGAAGAGTCTGTATGACCTGATTCTGTCACAATAACCCTCGTACATCCCTGTGGTCTTGATCGTAATTAAACTCATGATTTAAGGAAATAATATCTGACATTCATGGTCCCCTGAGGATATATGATTGAGAATACTTTCACTTTAAAAATCGACAACATTTGCCTCCTGCAACCGAGTGACTGAGAAGATCATCAAGTTAGTTCAACCATACATCCTCAAAATGTGCAAATTAAGATCAACCAGACAATAAACTTCATCCAGTCAGTGTTCAACACATTTGTCAGTGATTATCAAAAAATGAATGCTAATTCCAACATGAGGCTCAGAATACACTTCTGTACCACTAGGCCAAATTACCAGAGGATCATCTAATCACATGATAAAATATAAGAGGAACTATAGAGCAATTTTCTGGTGTTTTAATTCAATGGAAGAGCATTCAGAGGGTGCATTAAAAAAAAAAAAACATTTTATATGCAGTATAGGGCAATATTTTGTGATTTTCTAAGACTTGGATGGGCATCCAGAGGGCACTTAATTTCTTTTTAACTCCAAGAAGAAGAAAAAGAAGAGGAAAACAGGAAGATGAAGAAGAAGGACTTTATTGATCCCCAAAGGGAAATTCAATAAGTGGTAGTTCAATAAGGACATCCAGATGGCGTTTTTCCACATTTTACACTTTTGAAGAGCAGATACTCAATAAATTCATGTGCATTTTAATGGAAAAACCACCAAAAAGGCCTTTGATTGTTTTGGTTGCAGGGGCATCCCAAAAGGTCACATTGGCAGCCTTTTTTTTTCTAACATGGCAGAAATTCATCAGACTGATCAGTACAGCTGATTGTTTCTTCCCCCATACAACAAATTCAAACTCTGAAACCTTGTCCAGCACTGGCTTTAAAATGCAGCAGGTTTGAATGTCTGACAGCTCCACATTACTCAGACTGAATAAATTATGTGCATCTTTAATGCATGGACATTCTGGCACACCTTCAGGAGAGATGGTAGGATGAGTAAAGGTGTTAACAAAGAACGGAGTGACGCTTGGTCGAAGATGGTTTTTTTTTTCCCTGTGAACACCACCTTTACTTCAACGGCATAGGAAACAGAGAGGCAAATTTAAAATGCAGGACAGTAAGTTTTTTATCTTAAACATGATCAAAGAGGAGTTCAGATTTTCCTTTTTTGACAAGTGAGATTGAACTGCCGATAACGTAACGTACAAAACTCAGTTCTGCAGTGAAAGAATAATAAAACCTTTAACTTGAAACTCTGAGTTAGAAGTTTTTTGTAACATTTAGAGCAGATTAAATTTACAGAATTACTCTGGATTAGTTCAGATCTGCTCCTGACTCTGATTCTTTGATGTTTGAGTCTTTCAAGTTGTTCGGGTCATTGAAGTCGACGTGTCCTGGTGTAACACCAGCGTCTCTTCAGTGTGTCTCATTACTCGTGTGTAATATCACGAGCAGCTGATCTGAGTCTGAACTCGACGACTCTGATATCACTCTGAGTATAAGCTGTGAGAGCTAATTAATGAGAGCAGATTTAGAGAGCAGGGTTAGGGAGTGAAAGCGGAGATAAACCGCTCTGTTATTTAAAAACACAGATGTATGAGAGGTCATGAAAAGGTCGGCTCCATCAGCCTGTAAACCTGTTTTTATAACCTTCAGAGAATGGGAGTTTTTAAGTCCTCAGTCTGGTTCAAAAAGCACTCAAACCACCATCCCTCCAAGGTAAAAGAGCTCTCTGCTTTCTACTCTGGATATGGACAAACTCATACAACTTAAAGTGGTCATTGCTTGAGGTCAGACTTTATTTAGCTCTTGAAAATACTGTACAAAAACAGTTTACAAGTTCGGGGTCTCCTTTGTCCAGTTTTTGTGATATGATTATCATGATATGTTTAGTTTGTGTCTGACGCCGTTTCCCTCTTGTTCTCAGTGTTTGGTTCTTTATCAGTTTTCAGTGTTTCCTGTTTCATTTTGTAGTCCTCCATCCTTGTATTTCTAGTCTTGTTTTACTTCCTCAGTTTTCCCTCCTCTGTGATTGTCTTCACCTGTGTCTCTGTGTCTCACCTGCCTCTTGTTGATCATTTCCCTGTGTGTATATAAAGTCCTTGTCGTCCGCTGTTTCTTTGTTGGTTCATTGTGTATGAGTGTTTGTCAAGTTCAGTGTATGCTAATCTCCCCAGTGAGTCTCCATGTGGTTTTTCCTCAGTGCATTTTTGTTGATTTTGTCTTTGGGATTTTTGAGTCGGATGTTATAAGTAAGTTTTTGTTGCTTCTTATTTGGTTCTTCTTTTAAATAAACCATTTTTTTTGTTCTGCATTTAGGTCCTCTTTTTGTTTGTTTAACTCTGGAACATCACAATGATGCTCCAAATGTTTTCAATGGGTGACAAATCAGGGGCCTATTCTTTGAAGCAGGATTACTGCTTAGCGAGGTAACTTCAAGGGTAAGTTCGGGGTTTCCTGTTCTACGATAGGAATGAACAAATGAATGAATTCATCTTGGAAATGAATAAGACATGTCTGGTG